TAAAGACAAGACTCTTCTTTTGTATAAGTATTGCACTTATGCTACGTTTAGTTCTGTATATTTCTTTCTAGACATCAGCACTGGCTTTTTTTCCTTGCAGCGTCTGAGCTCAAGGGTAGTTTGGACTCACATGTAAATGTGTTTGCTTCTCTGAATCTGTCCCTCAGTTCTTGGACCTATATAACACATCTATAGCTCTGAAAATGCAGGTACCACTACAATTTAGTTTTAACCTTTAACATTAAACACAGCTTGCTCTAGAGCAGATGTGTCAAAGTGGGCTCCTCTGAGTCCAGAGCTGTTGTCCCTCCTCTTGAAGGCTTGATCAAATAGACTGATAGAGTTAAAGATAAATGGCCTAAGGCCTTATTTTAGCGGAGGAGCAAACGCAGTCTAGTGGTATAATTGCGGGTGCATAATTTGGTTAGGAGCAAGCAAATGTTTTCCTGTTTGTGTCCAGTTGTGCTTTTGGTGTTTAGAAATGCTAGAATTTATGCTGGTGTGGCTGGAGTGGTGCAACACAAGGCAACGTTCAAAAATACTTAATGAACTACAGTGCTTGGCTGTAAACTGTATTTATTTTTTCTTATCTGTCTTTACTTTTTGTTTATGTGTGGAGTCATGCGAGTTCATGTATTCATAAATAGTGGATTTCCACAAAAATGTAAGGACTTTGTGCTTGAAATCAGAAAAAATACACATTTAAGACAAGCATGATTTTGGACCAAAATGACTTATGTTGAAGGAAAATTCCAACTTTTTTCTGCATAATTCAATTCTTGGGATATATATAGTGGTTTGATGTAAATGGTTAATTGTAGAGAAACTTACTAACTCACACTTCTTTGGGGTTGTCATGTCTACAATGCAAACATATCCATTTTATGTATCCAAACAGTACTTAGGTACTATCTTGCTTCACCTCCATGTATTACTGCAGTTAATATAAAAGGATTCAGAGGCATATGGCATTGGAGATACACCAGAGTAGTATGAATCATACACGTTCTGTCAAACAAGTGATTTATGACCCCCCACCCTGAGTGATTTATGACCCTTGATTTATGACCCCCTGTGATTGACAGGTCAGTTTTGACTGAAAAGCCAGCAGGTTTTTTACGACACCCATTATTACGAAATTATCAAGTGCTGGACTTCAATTATGCACCACCCGACACGGGTTGTGGCGTTGTGAACTACAGCTAAGATGAATCGGCCGCGATCAACACAGTGTCAGACAACAGTTGGCTGAATCAATACTGTGACGATCTCGGAAGTATGAACATGACATACCTTTTGGAGCCATTGGGAGGGTTGGTGTCTAGACATCAGACGTTGCCTGCAGGTAATGAAGATTCGTCGAAGCTCCTGAATGCAAAACTACATCAATCCAACCAATGTTGTGGATAGTCAAGTATGCACTACAGTGTTAAAACTGATAAAGTCTGCTGTCGTTGTAATTCTACAACACATCATAAACAACAAACTGAAGGAAACGTGTCTCAGTTGTGAAGTGGACCACCCCGGTCAACTTCAACATTCGTGTCTGTTTGAGCTGGATATCTTGTTTTTTGAAGAATACTATAAAGATATAACACAGACATTGTTCACACCCGAGTTAAAACATACCATAGTGGGGCTTCTGAAGTGTTTTGGAATACATCTGTCTCTTCAAAAAATTCAAGGATGTGCCAAAACAGTTGTCTGTGAATTACAGTGTGAGCCATACATTGTGGAAAAGCTTCAGGAAATAAGAGAAAACCTAGTTGGTCAAACATCCGAACAGTTTGTCGCTGACGCTGTTGACTGTTGGAAAACAGGTGCAAAGACTTGCAGTACTGTTTAAGGCAAATGGGGAATGTTTGTGGATTCCAGGGTCTGTCAGACCATGTGTTGAAACACCGTGTGAACTATGAATTGACAAATTTGTTGTATAAATGTATTGACGATTGTGTGGATGATTTTAGACTCTTTTACAGTGTGCATGATGTTGATGCTAAACGTTTACAAAATTTCAAGAATCAAATGGATAATGGGATGTTAAATCAGTGTCAGATGAATGGTGCCACTTGACGCAGTTATGTATAGATTCTAATGAACCAACCTATATGACAATCAGTAAGATTTTATCTCTTATGCCTAAGAGTAACAATACAGTAAAAATGAGTCATGTGCTTTGCCTATGAACATACATATTAGACGTTTGTGTGATAAAAGTTTCAACAAGTTTTTGACTCATTTTATTTGTGTAATCTCTAATCTTTCCCATGCTGATGAAGGAAATTTGAACTCTGCATCACCTTATATTTATACCTCAGAGAAACAAGAAGCCATGCTTCAAACAGGTATGAGGTCAGTGAGTGGACTGATAAATTAATGTGATGATCAGTTATTAATCTCAGTGTTACTGAGAAAAAAAACAAAATTTTATTGTGTTTACAGGAATTAATTGTGTGATGTGTTTATAGGAACTTAAAGGAGTTATCTTCATTGTGTTGTTCTCTTTTGTCATTGAAAAGAGCCTAGCAACATGCCAAGGCTTGATGTAGAGCAGAAGAATCTTTGTGTATTAGGGTTAGTCATGGGATGGGAGGAGACATCCTGTCATTCTGTGGGGTCAACTGTGCTATGCCCATCAGGCTATAGGCTATTCTTACCTTACCTTAAATTAAGATTATTAAAATTAGTATTTAACGTATCACAAAAACAGAGAAAATGTCTGTATCCAGCTTTTTTTGTGGTGATTTTGGGCGATCCAATCTGACTGACCTTGAAAATTTTAATTAAAATCTTTCAGAAGCATCATAAATACAATTTTATTTGGCTTAGTTCCAAACAATTTAATGTTAAAAGAAAGACTTTTCCCTATTCATTTATTTTAACCTAATGATAAATATAATTTTTGCATGTGTCCCTCAACCCTGACCCCCCTCGTAAAAAAATGGAAAATTCTATTTTTCATGACAAACAAGAATTTGCATCATCTTCTGCAAAATGATCATCAGACAAGTAAATATTCTCATTCTATTTTCTCAATTGTTCTGACTCACGTTTCGTCAAGGGCACTGTGGGATCAGTAACATGTGGCCTTAAAACACTGAACCATGGGTTAAAAGCTTGAGGAACCAACATTTTGTTGAAAAAAAAAACAGTGAAAATGCTGTGGTATGATATCTAGTACCACACTGGAAGAATCAAACTGTACACGGAACTAAAGAAAAGAACAAAACAAAACCTAACCACACTTACCTACCCTGAAACAAAAGTACTTAGGTCACCTACAAAGGGAAACAAAAGCTAACTACTCAACATTTCCCTGGTCAGTAACCAAAAGTACATGTGGCGGTGCCTGCCCTCTGACCTAGGGAACTAGACAGAGTGCACTTCTACGTGGTTAAAATGTATAGGTGCGCCCCTCTTACATGAAACCCCAGGGGGTATAAATAATCAAGCAACCTCTTGTAAAACAAAAGTGTGCAGGTAAAATGCCAAAACTAAAGAACTTCCCTCAGCACAAAAGACAAGCTCTTGTAAATTAAGTTAAAGGAAGTACTGGTGAAATACCTAAAACAAAAGCTCACTCCTAACACAAGAGATTTCACACCAGAAACAAGCTAAAACACATCACACATGTGATCAGGCCCCTCTTTCTTTAGCCATCTTAAAGGCCTCCTTTTGAGGCTTAGGCTCCTCCCCCCCAACTACACCAGCCAGGCCTCTGATTGGTCCTCCTCACATGACTGATGGCAAAGCAGGTGCACCTGTGAAGGGAGAGACCAGTAGAGAGAGACACACAAAAAACCCAAAATACATGCTTACATGTAACACAATGAACACGCAAAAAAGTTGATTTAGCTGCATGAGTCAAACTTGACCATTCAACCCTGTTACCAGAATTACTGTGAAAAAAAGTAGAAAACTATATGGTTATTAGTAGTTTGCTGCAACATGTACACCCTGTCAAGCTAACCACTCCTCAATGGTGCTTATTTTAGGCCAAATTTCCATCACTGTTACCCATTTTCAACCTTCAATTATTTTTTAATGAAAATGAAATGAGAATAGATTGATTCTAAGATTATAAGGAAAACATTTAGATCATTTTTTTTATTAAAAACAAGTTTCCTTTCTGATCTGTTGTATAATTTTTAATATAATTCTTTTATTGCTTTAATATCAAGTTAATGTGGAATATGATCCCTGTGTTCAATCTGTTTCCCAGGATTCAACCCTGTTATTCAGTCATTTCGGGTGAAAAAAGTCTTAAAACAGTTTTGTAGGTTTTGTTACAAGAAGTGTCAGTTTGGCAATGAGAGTTATCAGCTCAAATTCCTAATACAAAAAAATGTACTTTTTTCTGCAGGCTTTGGAGCAATGTATACAACAAAGTTAGACAACATGAAAACTTCTTGCCAAAAAGGAATGAGTTCAGTAGACACAGCCTATTAAATGACATTTACACATCTCGCTAAAAATTGTGTTGCAGGGTTGCAAAAAATGTTTAATATTTCAGACAAAAACAGCTGATATAGTACCTGTTTTGACAACCTGAGATGGGAAAACAACATTTTCTGAAGGCTTAGCACTTCTTTTGATTAATACACCAAAGAATAAAGTTAAACTTTTAAAGGGTTTTAAGGCAAAAAAATTCTGTTCATTGAAAGTGCTCACTATCAATTTATTGATTTTATCAGTAGTTAAGTAGTCTACTGATCGTTTCATTGATCATTCAGGTAATTAGTGTGGCCAAACAACTAAAATTGATTCAGTGAACAGTAACATACTATGCAAAGCCTTTCCAGAAAAACATAAAAAGGAAGCCAATAAAAAATACTTATTTTAAAACACTGCGGCAAAAAAAAAAAGTGTCAATCAGACTCTGTTTCTTTTTATATAAGATACCAGCAGTAAAGTTTAATTTTTAACAGCAAACATTTCATTGAACTAATACGTTGACATTCACGTGCATGGATCAGCGATATCCTGCTGGTGTGGGTTTCCTCTCTTTCAGTGATACACACAAAAGCACTGTAAAAATGGTGTTGTAACTTAAAGTTAGTTACCAGGCTGCCTTAAAAATAAAAGAGTTAATGAAACTTCAAATAATACGTTGACAGGGCACAAGACACATATCATTGCTGTACAAAGAAAAACATGTATTTCCAAAATAGACAGACTAGAGGAATTTGGGGGTGGGTTTCAGAGGGGGCATACCCTTATTATTGGTGGAATTCACAGTCCAGCACTTAAAGTTTAACAAGTTGTGATCTTGTGATGTCATAATGAGAGTACATGTCTGGCCCTGTGAGACTAAAGATGACTATAATAATGTAATCAATGACATAATTAGCAAATTTAGCAATTCTGCAGGTGTCGTTGTTGCTTGTGTTTATGAATGTGCGAGTCACTGTGTAACAGTGCGGTAGTACAGACTCAGAAAGGACGCCATCAGTGCCAGAACCATAGAGCTCAGCAGTGGACTGGAGGATCCATGAGGAGGCCTTGAAAGAGATAAAAAAGAGAACAAAACAGACATGAACTATAAGGAATAGCCCAAAAATGTAGTTTGTATGGCCTCGAAGGTTTTGAGCTGATACTCAGCTTCTGTGCACACACTCCAAAAGTCTATTGCAGTGTCACAGTTGTATATTAAACACACTATAAGGTGTATCCCATGCATTAATCTTGATCGTCTAGGTTTTGTCAGGTTAGTGTGCAAAATACTAATATACAGCACTGTTTTGTACTGGCAAGGCAGTTATGGGTCAGCATAATACTGCTATTTTAAAAGCAACAGAAAAAAATGTCACAGGCTTCTTTTGTTTTTCATGAACTGTTCTTTTAATTGTACTTATTAGAGATGACTCTCACATCAAACGCCGCTTCATTTAAATTCAATTTTCTTCCTCACAGTGACGTGTTTCTGGGCATCATGGAGAGGCTCTGAGCTAGCTGAGTGTTCCGATGGATGATGGCCATTGAGGTGAAACATTATTTTTCTTTTTCTGCTTGTTCTTGGTGACATAATCAAACCTCAGAAAACATTTTCGAGGACAAAATTCACTACACTTCAATCAGAAATTACACAAAAAAACAAGAATGCTGTTTTTGAAATGGTATGGTGAATCATGGTTAACATGACCAGGAACATGAACTAACAAGGCAAAAAATATGATTGTATCATATAATATGTCAAACTGTTCATAATATGATTATGATCTGTTTGACTTCCAGCTTGATCTTTTTAGTTAATTGATTTGGACCATTTAGTTAATTAATTTGGACCATTTCTATTAGTCCATTCATCATCAAAATTTTACAGAAAAAGAAAAAGACAGCTGCTGTGTTCAGAAGATGTAGAAAAACTAAACTGGAAAAATATATGGTTTTTATTTATTTATTTATTTATTTTGGATTGCGTGGATATGTGAGTTTTTTGTTGTTTGTTTTTGAGGTTACTCAACTTTAGCACTTGTGAATTTACTGGATACTATGTACTACAAAAATAGCTCGGAGAATTAGTGTTTCGTTTACAGTTGGAACACAGCACAAGTTGCTAACAAGACAAAAACAAGCTGGCGTTATCCAAGTAAAGTGTTTTTTATAGTTAAATACCAAAGACTGGCATTGTTATGTCACTGTTTTTAGTTAAAAAATGGAAAATCTATTGGATCAGCTCTTGTAAAATCTACTTTTTTATCTCCACATTCTAAACTGGAGTTAAAAATATAAAATAAAATACATAATAATGAATTGCAAAAACAGTACAATTTAAGGGCTTGAGGGAGGATGCAAAAGAGACATGTCATGTGTGGAGAGTGACGAGGCTGGACGTAGTTGTGAGCAAATTTAACAAATGAAAATAAGCTAGAACAAACACTGAGAATAATACTAAGTAACAAACTACAAGACTTTTAACTAAGAGTCACTTAGAGCAGAGCAAACCAAACACAGGGCAGACATGCAACCACTGCATACAACATAATGTAGCCTAGACCACCAAGGACTGAAACAAAGGGCTAGATATAGCTAGACACAATAGGGAACACCTGGGAGAGGGAGGAGACAGAAACTACGAACAGGTGGGAGCACTAATAGGAAAAGGGCGGAGCAAAGGAACAAAAACCAAAACAAAAGCAGGGGGTGAAACAGGCACATTATAATTAACTCATCAGATATAATTGAGTATATAATTAATATCCTTGACTTACCTCTGAAAAAGGTAGCAGTCATGGTTGCTCAGAAAGCCTGAATGTGTTAAAGTGATTATTTTATAGTCAACATCATCAGTTGAAGCAGTCTCGATGCTCTGCACTCTGAAGACCTCAGTTGGGGAAATAAGCCGTTCAATTTCCTCAGAAGTGCACGTGAAGTTCTCAACATTAACCACAGAACAGGACATGATGTTGAACAGCGTGCCTTCATCTGCTGTGATAATTTGTTCAATTTCAAGGCTCTCACGGATACTGGCACCGATGAACCTCCCAAAACGCACCTCCTTCCCAATTTCTGCTGTATATTGGTTGTTTGTGCCAAAGTACACGGTGGAACATGTTTTGCTATAGTTAAGAAGTTGCAAAGCATCTGTTAGCAGAAAGTGAAGAGACTTGAAGGGAAATTCGTCATTGTATGTTGTGGCGTTGCTGCCTTTAGTCTGAATCAGTCTGTTGAACGTTTTTCGGAAATGAACTCCAGAATTCCCATAAGCCTGCAGTGCAGCCAAGTGATGTGCTCGCCCTCTATAAATTTGCTTCTCACAAGTCCCACCGTGACCCCTCCACATGTCTGCAAAATCCTTATTAGCCTTGAGCTCTTTCTGCAACAGGCCGCCTTGTGCTGTAACTTTCTGCATCATTTTGTCACGACACTCTGAGAAGGTGTCATCGACAGCATCAGGAGCCATGTCCAGCATTCTCTTCTCTGCAGTGACCTATGAAACAGACAAAAGGCTTAGCAATGAAGAAGAAAAAACTGAAAAGATATAAACTGGAACTGCAGTACAGTCGTTACCAAGAATCTTTACTACAATAAACAGATAAGAATAGCTGAAGCCTACCTTAATCTAATGTGATCAAACTTTTAAAGTTATCATGTTTATCAGATCATTTATATTCATACAAATGAATGTTAATCACTTCAAACAACCTCTCAAGGGTACGTCTTCAGTACCTTTAGTTAGGGAACCTGAAGTGTAAAGTTCCACCGCAGTTATATTCAGGTTTTTTACTATATTTTTCTATTTAAAGCTGCACTTTGTAAGATTTTCTAGTTACATCTTTTAACCACAGCTGGAACTTCAAATTTAAACACTGGTATGCTGATAACAAACTGAAGGTTTAAGGAAATAACAGATAGCAGTGTTGGCTGAGCATTGATTGCATGGCTCAGAAAAGAAGTTAGAGCTTGGCAGAGAGTGTAGCAATTGTATTGGCTAAATAGATATTCGATAACCCGATTTGATTGCGTAGTTCTGTGAGCAATCTGATTAGGCCTATGGCTATGTCCCTGGAATATCACTTATCTTAGAAGCTATTTAAGAGTTTTGTGGAACTACTTGATGTAACATTTTAAAGTAAAATTACTATTTCGTTTTTTAAATTGAGTTTAATAGGCACAATCACATTAAAACCCCACTGGTATCCTCAGTTAACTAAAACAGTCGTGTAGTGTTATGAACGCAGCTTTAAATGTTTGAAATAGTATAAAGAGCTTACAGTGTGTATGAGCCCAGTGAGGAGTATCAGAAGAAAAGGATTCACACTCCAGCATTCCATTCTGGCAGTTATCCCGCTCGTCTTTGCTGTGCCAAAATGAACACAGGAAGGATGTGCAGAGAAGAGCTGTTAAACACAGAAAATGAGATGAGAGCAAATTCTGATATGCTTAATAATATCATAATTGAATGCAGTACCTCAGGCTGAGTTTTCTAGTGTAAATACTGTTGCTAATCATTTATATCACAAAATGAATATGATAACAAAAAAGGTTTTGGTGACACTTTCTATGAATGTCACCTTTGTAAGCATCTATAAACACATTCATAACATGTTATAATGCATTCATAAGACATTATAAACATAGCTATAAATATTTATAAAAATGCATTATACATTATAGCCATGTTTATTATGCATTATGAATTGTTAACATAATGCATTTTAAGTACTGATCATAACAAATTATAAGAGCTCATAAGTTGTATTTGTCCGCTCTAAGTAGAGTGAAGCATACTGTACTAAAGCCACCTCCAGTGTTAAGAGTGAGGCTTCAAGTATTTACTGAAGGATTTACTGAAACACTAAAACATTCACAATAAAGCACATTACAGGCTTCAAATGTCAGATTTTAAACTAGTGCTGCCATCAGTGTTTTACACAATGTGGGAAAGGTAATGTACACCAGCGTTAGCTTGGCCTTTACTTTACACTCTCCAAGCTGGGACTGACTTCTTTGGCACTGACATTATAACATGTTATTAACACTATGTATAATGCATTATATTAACAATTCATAATGTATAATAAACATGGCTATAGTGTGCAATTCAGTGTAATTCTTTTTTTATAAATATTTATAACCATGTTTATAATGCCTTATGAATAAATTATAACATGTTATAAATGTGTTTGTAGATGCTTACAAAGGTGACATTCATAGAAAGTGTTACCAAAGTTTTTTTTTATGAAGAAGTACTGTCGCATCGGCATAGAAAAAGACCCAGAGTCAAGAAAAATGCTCTTTATTGAAACAAAGCAGCAAGTTGGGAGATCCCCAACAGCCAAGCACAGCATAAATAGAATAATCACTTCAAGCCTATCCGATCAATGTACTCCTTCTGTGCTTGGAGGAATTCCTCACAGTTCACAACATCAAGCCCAGTGTTACTGGGGTCGACAACAGCAGAAACGGCACTCCAATCAGCTGCCTTCTGCTTTCTCCCTCGTCCACTGCATCGTCAATGCTGCAGAGAGTTCTGCTGGTGTGCACAGCCGACGCCCCTTGGAATTCCACAACAAGTATTGGCGCTTTGTGGTCAGCTCCAGCATTGGTGGCTTCACCCACGAAAAGCCATGGTGCCTTCAACCCAACAGAACACCCTGTCTCCCCAGAGATCCACCAGCTCAGACATTGCATGACACTGTTCAGCTCATGGCAGCTGCCCCCACGTGGAACAAGGCTACACCTGACTCTTTGCCTCAGCTCCACCACTAGCCTTGAATTTCCTTCCTGAGGTCGACAAAAGGAAATCCAAACCAAGTTTGCACGCATCCTGTACATTCATGTGCCAAAACTTATGCACTCGGCCCCCAACTACTCCCCCTACCTCTTCCCTCTAATGATGACAGACTTGAGTTGGACAGTCAATGCTTCCCAGTTGGCAGGTGTGCTACGCTTGGTGAGAGGAAGCACACCTGGACATAGGAGCAACACTGATGAGCCAGTGTATGGCTGGTTGTCTCCTCCTCTGTGTAACACTATGTTGCACAGATGAGTTCTGTCATCTCTGCCTATAATAAACTCTTCTCTCAGCCTCGGCTATGTTCCAAAATCTCTTAAATTAGGTGTAATTAAACCCCTAATAAAGAAACCTAGTCTTGACCCCTCTGAGTTATCAAACTATAGACCTATTTCAAATCTTCCCTTTTTATCAAAAATTTTAGAGAAAGCCATGGCAAAACAATTATGTTCCCATCTGCTTCCCATAGGAGTAATATACATGAAAAATTTCAGTCTGGCTTCAGGCCTCACCATAATACCGAAACAGCGTTAGCGAAAATTGTAAATGATCTTTTATTATCCGCTGACAAAGGAAACATATCCTTACTGGTTTTACTTGATCTTAGTGCAACTTTTGACACAATAGACCATTCCATTCTATTAGACAGGCTTGAGAAACTAGTAGGAGTGACAGGTAAAGCTCTTTCGTGGTTCAAATCTTAGTGATTGCTTTGAGTTTGTTAATGTAAATGGTGAACGATCAGCTTTCACAGGAGTAAAGTATGGTGTTCCACAGGGCTCTGTCTTAGGACCCATATTATTTACCTTATATATGCTATCACTAGGTATCATTAGAAAACATGGCATCAGTTTCCACTGCTATGCCGATGATATACAATTGTATATTTCAGCTAAACCAGAGGACAAAATTGAACTTAATAAGATAGAGGACTGTGCAAAAGACATTAAAGAATGGATGTCAAGAAACTTCCTCTTACTAAATTTGGACAAAACAGAAGTTCTTCTTCTTGGTCCAAAAGCTGCTAGGGATAATCTGCCTATGTTTACTCTTAATCTCGATAGTTTCTCAATTGCACCAGGCACATCTGTAAAAAGCCTTGGTGTCACGATCGATCCCAGTCTGGCCTTCGATGAGCATATTACCAATATTACCAGAATAGCTTTCCTCCACCTGCGTAATATCACTAAATTAAGAAATGCACTGTCGCTACAGGATGCAGAAACGTTAGTTCACGCCCATCACATCCAGGTTAGTTTACTGTAACGCTCTGCTTTCTGGTTGTTCCAGCCAAAACCTTAACAAGCTTCAGTTAGTCCAGAACGCTGCAGCCAGAGTCCTCACCAAAACCAGGAAATTTGACCACATTAGCCCAATTTTGTGTACCTTACATTGGTTGCCAGTTAAATTCCGCATTGAGTACAAAATTCGTCTACTGACGTATAAAGCTTTGAATGGCCTTGCTCATCAGTACCTCAGTGACCAGTGAATTTCCTATTATCAACACAAGGTGCAGGCTCATTATTAGTACCCAGAATAAATAAAGTTACGTCAGGGGGAAGAGCCTTTTCATACAAAGCCCCCCAGCTTTGGAATAGTCTTCCTGTTAATGTTAGGGACTCAGACACAGCCTCAGTCTTTAAGTCTAGGCTAAAAACTTACTTGTATAGTCATACCTTTTGGTAATTAGTTTTCCCTGTCAGTTCTATACCTGCCAGAGTCTCTGCTGCTCTGCTAACACTGTAATCTGTGATCAGTCACCCATTACAGCACTGACTCTCTGTGTGTTTTTCCTTTCTTTCTTTTCTTTGCCGAATTGAACAGCTGCCTATCCTGTGCGTCTGATGCTGCTGCCTCTTCTGCCTTGCTGCCAGCCCTCTGGACCGGCTTGACCACCATTGAGCTTCTTGCTGTACAACGCCGTGCAAACCTCACCCTCACATCCTGACCCCACTGATGCTACTGCTGCTGCTGCATGAACTAAACTAATCAAATTAATCATTTGCTCCACCTGTTTTCCCCGTTTTTGTACTAACAATTTCTATCTGGTGTCGACCAGAGGAGAATGGGTTCCCCTTCTGAGTCTTGGTTCCTCTCAAGGTTTCTTCCTGTTTCTTAGGGAGTTTTTCCTTGCCACTGTCGCCACTGGCTTGCTCATGGGGGCTTGGACCCGGATTTCTTTCTGTAATGCTGCTTGTTTTTATTTATTTATTTATTTTTTTAAATAATCCACATGATGCACACTGTACACATGTACATTTTGCAATAGTGTGCCAATAAAGCAAACAAAATCATAAGGCTTTTGAGCCTGCTTGAGCAAAAGTATTGCAGCATATGTTATTCTGCTGTACTAGACAAGCTATGTTTTGTATTTTAGGGAGGAAGTTATTTACTATATCAGTAGTGTAAAGCAAAAGACTTTAATTGGAATTATTGCTGTGGTGTTTGTTTATATCAGTGTGCATATAATAAAAAAGTACATTCATTTTCGTACAAGGATAGCTGTGTGCAATTTTTTTGTATTAATTGTACTGTTATTATTGATATTAGTCATATTATTGACAATAATTTCAATTATTTAACTGCAAATCAGGCTCTATTTTTGTCTCCTCTGGCCATAGAACCTGGTTCCAGTCTGTGTTTTGGTAGTGTATAGCTAAATCCAGGGACTTTCACTTGTGGTTAAATTAAAAAAGGCTCTTTATGGGAACCTAAATGTGGTTTTTGGAGACTTAGTCACTCCATAATGCTACCATGTTCTGCAGATCTGTAAATGTGATCCTTGGAGAAGATGTTTCCTCTATACTGTGCAAAGGGGAAAATACACTTAGATCCTCTTCCAAGCAGGTTCACTACAGCTCTGGTTGTTTTAAATGTCTTCATTATTGCCCTAATAGTTTATATTGGCATTTTCAGATGTGTAGTTATATTTCTTGTCCTTTGCCTGATTTATGATGAGCAATACACTTTTGTCTCATTTCATTTGTGTAATCTCTGGTCTTCCCCATGTTGAAGAAGGGAGTTTGACCTCTGCGCCACTTCATATATATATTTTTAGAAAAACGGTTAGTCATGCTTCAAAGAGGTGTAAGTATGACGTGACTGAACACTTAAATGAGTTCATGAGTTCATTCATAGTTTATCATAGTTTATAGCGTGAGAAAGTTACTTACTGTATTAGTAGTATAAAACAAAAGGCTTTAATTGGACTTTATTATTTGTATTAATAATTCGGACTTTATTAATGTGGCATGCATTAATGAACATTTTATTATTGGCTCTAATTTAACCTGTAAGAAACCATATGGAACAAAATATAAATACATAAATATTCATCTGTAAATGTTCATGAGCTGAATGAATGGTACTGATTTCTTTTTTTACAGTGTAACAAGACCTACAACACTTGCTTTTGTCATGTTAAGGTTAATTTGCTAATACTTAAAATTAAGATACTGGAATACAAATTCATTTCAAAAGGTATTCCAACAGTGCATTAGACCATATTTTGGTTATTTTCATTTACTTTTAAATGTTTCTGATTAATATATTTACATACATTTATTTCGCTAGGGTACATTTACCCAATACGTTTTAAAATAAATGCATTTTAAAATACATTTGGTTAATATATCAACATATTCCGAAATACATTTTAGTGTTTGGAATGTATTTCGGTATGGACTGCTATGTATTTGAAATGTATTTCAAACATGCAAAAATATTTGTCTATATGTATCATTTGGGAAGTACTAGCTAACTACCATTACTGTAATTTTCATCACTAATTTAACTTTTTTATATTGTTGCCATGTTTTTCTTCCTCTTGGATCAATTTTCTTAATAAATATATTTTGATTGTTAGTTTGTTTTATGCTTTTTATGGGTTTATTTCCATCATGTATCTATGTGTTTTTGATATTTGTGCTGTAAAGCTTTCTGAGCTTTTACAAATTGTGTGATGTGTTTATAGCAGCCTAAAGGAAATATCATCACTGTATTTACTCCTTTGCAACAGAGAAGAGCTTAGCAACATGCCAGAGCAGAGCAATCTTTATGTGGGTTAGTCATGGGATGGGAGGAGACTTCCTGCAAAACATTTTAACAATGTAATCACATTAGCTCAGAGTGGCCTGTGTGTGGTAGAGGAACCAGTCTGTTTCTTTTAGGTCAAAACATTCGATCATTTCTGTAACTTCAACATCCTGGAACGTATGTTTCATCTTTCTGGCACCAAGAACTGGTGTTTCCTCATTCTTCAGACAGATTCCTGAGTTGATTACTTGCATGGTTTTGTCTGTTTTTTTATGCAGTCATTAAAGACGTCAGATTAACTCACACGTCAGTGACTCATTTTTAATGCTTTTCTATTGAAGAGAAGCTTCACACTTAACTCTCAATTTGAAGCCAAATCCAAAGGGTTTATTAACCAAAACAGAAACTGAATGCAAAACCTACCTAACCTGCACTCTTTGCTGTTAGGGTGGTGAATAGAAATCAAACCCAGACAAACAACAGTGGAACTGAAAATGTGCAACACTAGAGTTCTATTTTTGGACACTTTCGGTTCCCTAAAGAACCCTTCAGTGCATTGGCCTTTAAATAACCCTTTTGATTAATGCCATAGAGTACTCTTTTATGGTTCTTCACAGCATCTTTTCAAAAAAGGTTCATAAGGCTTCTCAGAGTCATCTGACTTTTTCAATACCTTGCTTATTAAACCAAACCTAAAATCTGAATGGAACTGTAGGAATACTGCTAAAAGATTTGGTTATAGGGTAGGCTAGCTACTACTACTAGCTTCCATTTAACTAACGTTAGCTAGGTTGGCAGCTAACTAGCTAGCTAGCGTTAACTTTTCAAAGACAAACATTTACACAGTGCTTACCTCACAATAAATGAGGCATAAAGGTTCAAGGCACCTAATTATATATAATCAGGCATAACATTATGACCACCTCCTTGTTTCTACGCTCATTGTCCATTTTATTAGCTCCACTTACTATATAGGTGCACTTTGTAGTTCTACAATTACAGGCTGTAGTCCATCTGTTTCTCTGCATACCTTATTAGCCCCCTTTTACCCTGTTCTTCAGTGGTCAGGACCCCCATGGACCCTCACAGAGCAGGTACTATTTGGGTGGTGGATCATTCTCAGCACTGCAGTAACACTGATGTGGTGGTGGTGTGTTAGTGTGTGTTGCGCTGGTCTGAGTGGTTATTTAATGCATTTATTTAAGACGCTTATTAAAAATAATTAAATTATAATAATTAAAGTAATATTTTAATTATTTTTAATAAATCATGTTTTTTTTACTGTGTATTCCAGGTAATATCAAACTGCAGTTGGGTTGTTTTGATTAAGTGAAAATAAATGTGTTTTTTTTTTTTTATTTACGTTTTCCTTTTTTCTGCTGAAAAAAATACCTAGAAACCATTGTGTTTCTGTTGGTTCCTGGTGGTTTTGTAAGGTATTTGGCATTTTTAATGGGACAATGTCACAATGGAAAATCGCTAATGTTTTAACAGGTGACCAATGGCTGATTCTAAATGCTTTTAATGGTTTCCTAATGAGATCTGAAGGAGTTCTACAGGAAGCTAGTGTTCTCTACTCGTAACCATTAAGCCAATTCTCAATAGAAAGATCTTGCTTTCTAATTGTCCTTTTTAGCAGGAAAAGAACATAACTTGAATTGTCTTTTGATGTTTTAGACTTAAACAAAGCTGTGTAATGGAAACAAGTTTCTTTTAGTTGCAATATTTAATATTCTTTAACATAAAACAAGCAGGCAAAGTGCTGAAAATTGCAACAAAACAGTCCATTAATGGTCGATATTAAACATCTATAAGATCAAACCTCAAAAAACCCTCTGGCTAAATCTCAAATGGCTCACTGCTCCCTATATAGTGCACTATGTGAGTTATGAAATTTTAGCTTAACATACAAATATTGCTCTTTATGTTCAGTATGAATTGTGCACAGATGGGTGAATTCTGACGTTCTGTGTAGATGCAGTAGCCATTATTTTAAGACCTACCTACTGCACTTTATAGGGGGGGAAGGGAGCGATTTGAGATTCCGCCTAATACTGCGCGCTGATTGGCTGAACAGATTCACCGTGTTCTGCTGGAGAACAGCGCCGGCATTTAACTGTTTCTGCTGTAAAATGTGAACTTGCAACACCTTGACAATGGACAATAATGGCTTTTGTGACAAAGCGAAATCATTTTTTGCAAGTGAACTCTTTATTTATTTCCTCTGAGAATTACTAACATTAGAACCCTGCAAAAAACAGACCATTACGAGCCATTAGAAATAAAACCTGATGGTTTTGCTTTCTAATGGGAATTGACCTCATGGTTACCATCAGTGACCTCTAGTTTCCTGTAGGACATTTCCCATTAGAAAACTATCTAGAATCAGTTTCAGAGCACCTGTTAAACCATTAGAGTCCTTTACACTTTGATACCAATCCATTAAAAACGTACAGTACCATTAAGGACTACTGAACACCACCAGGAACTAACAGACACTTTTAATTGTTTCTATGATTTTTCAGGAAGGAATAAATACAAATAACACTGATATAATACTAAATGTTGATTTTATATAGGCTGTGTCAGTGTGTTCACCGTGTGTGTCAACTACTTTCAAACCTCTCCCTGTGGCAGCCCAGCATTAATTCTAGTTATCATCCATTGCTTGGCAAAGTGTTTGGCGAACACTTCAATCAGTTAATTTAGGAGATTTGCTGGTGATGGATTTGGACAAATCCATATGATGGTTGGGGCAGAACCGTATCTTTGTCCTTCTAACAAGCTCACAATGACTTTTTTTTGCAAACAAGAAATTCTTGTTATTTTTTAACTGCAATTATGTCTATTTGTATTTATTGAAATGTTGTGCAGAGTTGTTACTTGCTGAGTGCACTGCTGAGATAATTATAAAATAAAGCAGATACATTTTAAAAGACTTTTGCACAGAACTATACGTTAGTAAAAGTTAATGAAATATCACTTACCGAGGTGTTTTCAAGTTTCATTCAGAGTCTCTGGAGGCAAAAGTTTCACAAGCTGTCACCACAGAGCACACACATCAAGTGAAGTGAAGCGAAAGAGCAAGAACTAGCAGCATGAAACTGACCACTAAACCGACAATTTCTGCTTTCTATTCACTCTTTCTCAATATTTCACTTAGTTCAAGTTCTGAATTCACAGATACGCCCAGGCCCAGCGTGGGACTTGGTTGTGTTGCATGATTCACACCAGCCCACCACAAACTCTATACCCACCCAAACACACACAAAAAGCAGGCCAATGTCATTATATCAGGCTATCCTAACAGCAGTGCAATCATCACCATATTTACTCCAACACGTCTGCTATAAAACAATAGCAATCAGTCAGAAAGCTGGATTCACACAAACACAACAAACACTGCAGCAGACACTTTCCATTAATAGCGTTCAATTTATGACCTATAACTTTGATAAAGTCACTGTTGTTGTTTTGATTTTTCATTTCTGTGAAAAAGGACAGGATCTGTAACTTGAAATAAAATGATTAAAATTAGCATTTTAATGATCACACAAACATAGATGTCTGTGTCCACCTTTATTATGGTGATTTTAGGCTGTTCCACCACAGTGACATTGAAATTCTCTATAAAATGAAAAAAATCTTCCAGTAACACCATGATTACAATGTTATTTGCAAGCAAATTAATGTTAAACATTTTTTATCCAATTAATTTATTTAATTTAACAATAAAAGTAATTTAACCTGTGCCCCACATTATACGCTGTTGTCAGAACAAAACCTCATATCTCTGAAACAAGAACTTTACAGAAAAAGAAAAAAAAATACACTTTACTTTTAATGTAAGCCAATGGAACCAGACATGTTTCCAAGAAAGTTTGGGTCATTACTTTTTGTCCATTCATCATGACATTTACACAGAATGAAAAGGGCAACAGGCATTTTCAGATCATGTCAAAAACTGAAAAATGACAAAAATAATCTTAAAACATTTCATTTAGTAGGACATGTTACCAGAAGTGTCAGTTTGGTAACGTGAGTCATTAGTAAGCAATGGATTTAAGAAATATAGAAAACATTAGAAAGCTTTGGATTTATATTATTTGTTTAAAACAATTCTAAAAGCATTTTATGAATATATGTATTTTTTTAGTAGATTAATAAATTAATACATTCAATTGATGTAGGTTTTTAAATTACATTTATTCATCTCCCTAAAAATTGGTAACAGGGCTTGTTAGGACTTGGTCTAGGGTCAGGCTATAACAGAGAAAAAGAGTGGACTCTCTCCCCAGACTTGCTGCCAGACCAAACACTGGACACCACTGAAACCAGAAAACAGGTTTATGTAGGCTTTCTTGAAAGTTTGCGAGACACTAAACTGAATAGGGGGATGGCTTCAGGGATGAGCATGTGCCAAAATAACACACAAAACTACTAACAATGACCAAACAAAAATACAAAAGGCTAACCTGTCTCCCTGCTTTAAAACCAGGAGAAAATGTGACAGAAAATGAATGGCACTCATTTTCTATTCCCACACGCTCACAGAGAGTTTCACAGAATCCAACAAAGCTTTCGCAAAATATATAAGCAAAGCGAAACAAAGAGTGGTGTGAAGAGAGCTGGGCTGATCTGGACAGGTGTTCTTCCAGGTCATGTCAGAGGGGAGAGAGCACTGAACGCTTGGTGACCCTATTTTATATAGGAGGGCGCCCATATGTGGCCTATCATGGACCTGCACACAGTGCAACACAAGACGGAAGATACACAAACTGGCAGCACAAGGCTCATGAAAGTAACATTACAAGCGGGGGTCATAACAGTGATACAAAAAATGCTGTACATTTTAGAAATAACAGCTTATTTAGTGTCTGATTACATTTCACTTACTTTGATTAATAGTTTGTGAAAAAAATACCAAAGAAAAAACTTTTGAGGCATGAAGTGAAGTCTATTCACAGAGATTCTCAACACCCTTCACTGCAATGCATGAATCCACTCATCATAAGGACAACTTCTGCCAAGGGAGGATGATAAAAGTTCAAGTTTTATCAGGCAGCTGATATGCACCCGGTTCAACCCACAAAGGTAAAAGATGTTCAAATGCAAAATCTGAACCTACTCATCAAAGCCAAAAGCTTACACTCTAAAATCAGGTGTTAAATAAGAACTTGTGTCACCCATTTTAACACTTTTTGTGTTGTATTGTTTTCTGATTTAACACATTCCGTGTTAAAAGCAACCCAAAATGTGCTATTCAAAACTGGGTGTATAATTATTTCAACAAATTTTGTGTTAAAAGTAACACAAAATGTGTCGTCTTCAACTGAACACACTGACGTGTCTATATAGAGATAGAATGTGTTGTTTTTTTGGTTACTGCGACAGGGGGCAGACCTAATGATTATGACATGAAAGTTAATCCAAAAACTAACGTGTAAAGATGAAGAAATACAACAGAGCAAACTTAGAAACCTAAACCTAACCTGGGTTTGAATGCCATTCAGCCATAAAGATAAAACTTAAAACACAGTTCAAATTCTTAAGTCTGCAGCAACATACCACTAGGACAAATCTAGAGTGCTTACACTGAAAAAATGGCATCTTGTCAAGTGAAATGATTGTAAATCTAGTCAATCTCATATTTCCCATTTTGAGATGGTTGTGCACTTATTCTAAGATTATTTACCTTATTTCTATATATTATTTATTTATTTTATTTATTTATATTTATTAAGTACAAGTATCTCACTATTAATGCCAGATAATTTTGCTGATTTCAAGCACACGCTTTAAAACAAGCAAAATTATCTGTGAATATAGTGAGATCAGTTTGCTTCTTAAAATTACTTAAAACAAGTAAATAATGACTAGAAATGAGGAAAAAATCTTAAATTAAGCTGACAGCAATCTCAAACAGGAGACATATTGGATTTTAATGACTATATTTAAGATAATTTTACTTGACAAGATACCAATTTTTGCAGTGTAATGAACTAAATTATAAACATACATACACTTTACTGCAAAAACAGAAGTTGTGATTAAAACGGCAGTTATTTTTATGATTTTATAATTTTGGTTGAAATGTCAGCAGATTGTACATAGTCAGGGGGAAATTTTGAAACCTGCCAAAATTATACCCCCTTATCTTTGGGGTGCGAAGTGTGATTCATCTCAAACTTATTCTGGTGACTTATCTTAGAGGTGGAGTTATAGTAGTATGTTACTCCAGAATTCAAACTGTGTTTAAAGTCTTCCTGCGCCAACAACCAAAGTCTTTAGTTTGCCACATTAAACTAAACTATCACTGTGAGACTCTTTGTTTGGCCTGTAGGTCCTGTTGCGCTGTTTGCTGTGAAGGAAAATTAAAAATTAGCCATTATTTACACAAAGAAACAACAACAAAGAAATCATGAGTGTAGTCTGTAACAACTATAGCATGCATGCGAAGGGGAAAACATATTTATACATGGGCATCTATGTAAGGCAGAAGCAGGAAAATGAGATGGTAGAATTATTACAAATTTACAGCAAATACTTCATGCAACTACATCTCCAGATGTGATCTGATTCACCTCCACAACATTTGCAAGATGTTTAGGAATCTCGTTATACTGTAGCCCTTCGTCTCAGACCGGGTGCCTCTCATGCAGCACCACTGGAGCTTCCTTCATCCAGAGTTTTGTTCCATTCTTAATTCAAGATGCTCTGATCAAAAATATATAAAACCTGTATTAAAATGTGTTCTCTCATTGGCTGAGGGAGTAAGGGGTGAGGCATCTTTTTGGTGGGCTAAATCAAAAGTCACTGTCAGCCCACTTTGGGCAGCCCTGATGTAATCCAAAAAATATCATTTTTTTCAGTCTTTAACCTCATCACATTGTTGCTTCATCAGTTTTGAACACATTACAATCACGTTATCTCAATATCACTGAGATGCTCACATTTTACCCAGTATCATGCAGCCACAGTGAACACGCCTTACAATTTTTCATAAAAACCTAAAAGGAGTTGCTTCAGAAAGGATTAGTAGCTGAACTGAAGAATGTCACAGCGGATAAATAGAGAATATGATATTCAGACCAAAGGCAAACCCAAGATAGTCAATTTTACAATTAAAAACACCCCAGGTAATGTGCAAAGCCTAAGACTCTAAAGTATTGTACAGTCAGAACATGGGTTTCTCTGGCTCGTATATGGGTTTGTAAAGGCGGTCTCATAATTTACATCACTCTCTGAGTCAGACGAATCTTTCACCCTTTGATAATTCCCATTCTTTACAGGATTGACTTTTGGAGTAACAGAGGGAAGAACTGTATTGACAGGTTGTCCCCAATACCCAGTTTTTCTAAGAAAGTCATCAAACTCCAGTCTCCTGATAGTCTTTAAGAGGCCTACGCTGATGCGGTAGGTATTGTTGGGGTTGTAGTGTGTCCAGTCATGATGCTCAGTCACGTAAACTCTTCTCACAGACCTTTTCTTATCAAGGCTAATAATGATGCGATCCTTGTTACTGTCCATGTCATTAGTGTAGTCTTCACGCACGTAATCAGGCAGGTCTTTTGCTCCTGGATATTTTTCTGTGTTCAGATTGCCCACCACGTAATAGGGGATGTCCACATCATGCAGGAGTTTACCACCATTCCCCTCGTCTCTGTTCTCGAAAGGGTGGAACCCAAAGTCTCCACTCTTGGGATCGCACTTTAAAATCATTCTGTGGCGTTTAAAAGAGAGACAAACTTTGGTGAACCAGTACAGTAGTTTGAGACCATGTCTTGGTTTGGGCTGACCATATTCACACTTCTTCAGCTGCTCCAATTTTTTCAGCATCTTCACTCAGGGCGTGACCAATCTTTATGAAGACCTAAACACACAAAATAAAAATTGTTTGTTAAAAACTGCAAAGATGTAATCACAATTTCATGACATCTGTTCATCCATCTGTTTGTCTGTCTATCAGTGAAAAAATATTTAGTAATTGCAAACTAATTGAGTAACTGAGTAAAACTCAACGTGCTTCTCGTCTGTTGGGACACACTGGCACACACGTAGTTCTGAGACACTCCCTTTATAGAGTGAGACTTTGCATGTGTGTGTGTGAGAGAGAGAGTCTTCATTGAGCATCATTGAAGGGCCTCCCCATAACAACACAAAACAACAATCACCATCTTACCTTTGCAGACGCTGTATCAGTTACATGCCCTCAATCATGGAAACATAATTTCCCTTGCTTTTTTGTAATATAAAGAGTTTAAGGTAGTATTGCTAGTAGTATGCTAGTCCAGACAATCTATACATGGAAATAAAGCTGTAAAAACAGCCTTTTTTAAATTGTTGTTTCTGT